AAAAAAAAAAAAAAAGAGAGAAGGAGGCAGATAAGCTGACTTCAGGCCAGGAACTAGCCCTGGCAACACTCCATGCTGTGGAAGCCCTCCTTCGAGGTGCTCCGGAGAGATGGATTTCAAACACCAGGGTCACCCAGTACCAAGCTGCCAAGGAAGCTGCCCAAAAACCAGTGGGGCCTTTACAAGAGGAGGAATTGACAGAACAGAAGCAAGCTACCAGAGCACCAAATGCTTGGTGGACTCTACCAAATGGCAGACTGTTGATCCCAGAGGCTCTACGTTGGACTTTAGTTGCCCAGTTACACCAGGCTACCCACACAGGTGTCACCAAGACTTCTGAACTTTCGTGAGGCAGGTCACAAGTAAATGCTAAGCAAGGTAAGAGGGTCTCCCTGGGAATTCAGGCCCAGGGAAACTCCCCAGGTAGCATTGGGAGGTAAATTTCACAGAGATTAAGCCACCGGCATCAGGGTCTGAGTAACTGCTAGTTTTTATAGACTCTTTCTCAGGATGGGTTGCAGTCTAGCCCACCAGGACAGAAACTGTCTCTATAATGGTCAAGAAATTACTCCAGGAGATTATACCTAGACTGGGGCCATCAGCAGTTATAGGATCAGATAACATTCCCAACTTTGTAGCCAAGGTATCTCAAAGTCATAAATTGGAAACTCCATTGTGCATACTGGCCACAGGTTCAGGGCAGGTATGAACAGGACTCTAAAAGGATTTTAACTAAATTTATCCCCTCAAGGCCTTGCAGGCTCTGCAGTATACCCAGAGAGCCACCCGTAAGCTTGTGCGAGACGCCCTGCCAGTGCCCACCTTGGACCCTGTACATCCTTTCCAGCCTTGGGACTCAGTGTGGGTAAAGAAGTTCATGACCCAAGGACTCACCGCAACTTGGAAAGGATTATACACTGTCGCCCTGCTGACAGCATCCAGAACTGGCTACACCATTCCCAGCTCCTGCACCAGGAAACGGCCTTGATCCCGGCAGCCAGCGGCCCCACCCGTGAGATCCCTAGTCTGGGCTCCACGCAATCCAGGAGGAGGCTCGATGTCTGCAAGAGTGGAACTGGACTTCAGTGAGGACAGTACTGATGGGGACCATGGCACTAGGGCACTTGGTAACTGTAAGAACATTTTTTTTTTCTAGCCAGTGAGAAAGTCCAGGGCCAAGTGGGGCTAGATGTGATAGGGGACAGGAGAGCAGGAACCGAATAGAGAATGCCCCTAAAAGAAGTGGGGTGAGTAAATGAAAATTAAATGTGCCAAGCTGGCAGTTTAGAAAAATTAATTCCGTCAAACTACTTGTAGTTAGGGGGCAGTACAGTCCCCTAACTAGTAAAGATGAGTCCATGATTTGACTCATGGACATAAAACCAGTGGGGAATGAAGTATGGTAGCAACCATTTCAGGTGGAGGCTGTAGTTTAACTCTAGTCCTGTTGTTTGGCTTAACAATAGAAAAGTTATTTTGATTTTTCTTAATTGTATAAATCATCCCATTCGATTGAATGGCTATCCCATTGATTGTTATCTTACTGGTTTTAGAAAGCACATTCTTCTGTACCTGGGAAACAGGACAGCACAATTATCCTAAATTGTCTTAGTAGCCACAGATAATGTGTTCCAGTTGACTCAGTGGTCCCAAGACCAGGACAGCACAATTACTCTAAATTTCCTCCATGGCTCTAGATAATGAATTCCTGGCAACCCAGTGGTCTCAAGACCTGAGGGCTCTAGATAATGTGTTTCTGTTAATTCAGTGACTCTGGGACCCAAAACTGTAATTTAGATAAGATGCTGCTTCTGTAAACTGCTTTTTTGCAAACCAGGTTCCTCATTCCAAACCTTGAGATGTAATCAATACCTTTGTGATCTTTGCCTATATAAGTCTGGTTTTGCCACCATCTTATCACTATGAGATTTGGGAATGACCCCTCATAGTCCCGGATTGCAATAAATGTGACTCTTTAATTCCACTTCTTGAGGCGTCCTTCTGTGATTCGCGGGGTACATTATAACAATTTATTGAGAGAAAGGTATTAAAATATCTGGATCTAATTGTGGATTTGTCTATTTCTCTTTATAGTTCTGTTAATTATTGTTTCATGTATTTTTAAGCTCTGTAGTTTGGGATGTAAATGTTTAGAATAATTCTAACTTTTAATTAATTAACCCCTTTATTATTATGAAATGACCTACTCTGTACATTTTTATATTCTTATCTAATATTAATATAGCTATTACAGCTTTCTTTTGACAAGTGTTAGCATGGTATATATTTTCCCTACCTTTCTGTTTTTAGCCTGCTTTTATATTTCATGTTTTTATATCTAAAGCACATTTCCTATAGGCAGCATATAGGTGCATCTTATCTTTTTATCTTTATCTGGCACTAGGATAAAAAGATAAGCCACTACAGGGTGTGGCAAAAGTAGGTTTATGGCTGTGAGTATGTGAAACAAAGTTTATTGCTTTTTTAAAAATATATTTTATTATTTTTTTACAGAGAGGAAGGGAGAGGAATAGAGAGTTAGAAACATCGATGAGAGAGAAACATTGATCAGCTGCCTCCTACACACCCACTACTGGGGATGTGCCCACAACCAAGGTACATGCCCTTGACTGGAATTGAACCTGGGACCCTTTAGTCCGCAGGCCGACGCTCTATCCACTGAGCCAAACCAGTCAGGGCTATTCCTTTTTTTAAATAACTCTTTATTGTTGAAAGTATTACATACATCCTGTTTGCACCCCACCCAGGCTCTCACTGCCCCATTTGTCTGTGGCCATGAGCCATGCATATATGCATACAAGGTCCTTGGTTGAATACTTCCCATCCACCCACCCTGCCCTGCCTTCCCTCTGAGATTCACCACTGTTCCATGCTTCCATGTCTCTGGATCCACTCCTTTCATCGGTTTATTTTGTTACTTAGATTCCACATATGAGTGAGGTCATATGATATTTGTCTTTCTCTGACTGACTTATTTCACTTAGCCTGATACTCTCCAGGTCCCTTCATGCTCTCTCCAAGGGTAAGAGATCCTTCTTTTTTACTGCTGCATAGTATTCCATGTTACAAATGTACAACAGCTTTTTTATCCACTTATCTATTGATGGGCACTTGAGCTGTTTCCAGATACTAGCTATTGCAAATTGTGCTGCTATGAACATAGGGGTGCATGCATTCTGATTGGTGTTTCAGGTTTTTTAGTATGTATTCCTAGAAGTGGGATCACTGGGTCAAATGTCAATTCCATATTTAATTTTTGAGTTAAACCATACTATTTTCCATAATGGCTGCACCAGTCTGCATTCCCACCAGCAGTGTGCTAGGGTTCTCTTTTCTCCATATCCTTGCCAGCACTTGTCATTTGTTGATTTGTTGATGATAGCCGTTCTGACAGGTGTGAGGTGATACCTCATTGTCCTTTTGATTTGCATCTCTTTGATGATCAGTGACTTTGAGAATTTTTTCATATGTCTCTTGGCCATCTGTATGTCCATGTTGGAGAAGTGTCTCTTTATGTCCTTTGTCCACATTTTTTTATATATACTTTTTATTGATTAAGATATTACATATGTGTCTTAACCCCCCATTGCCTCCCCACCCTATTCCCGTTCATGTTGGGGAACTTTTGTTAAGTATATATATATGTTAATACTTACATTTTTTTGATGGATTGACCCTTTGATCATCATAAAATGCTCTTCTTTGTCTCTGTAGCATTTCTTTTATCTTGGTTTATTTTTTCCTGATATTAGTAAG